GGGTCAACGCCTATATCCCGAAACACTAGCGTTTAGGAACCCGCGCAATTGGCTTAACGAACTTTGGAACAATAAACTATTTACGTGACTGACATCACATTCCCCACTGGGCAAAACTGGTTGAATCAACGTTTTTTTCAAGTCATTTCAACAACAACAACAACAAAAATGATCAAATGTGATGACGTTGTGGAAAACTGATTGGACTTGCAAAAAGTCATCAATTTCAGGGAATGTCGTATTTTTTTCACTCAACTTTTAACCTAAATCCAATTAAGTTACATTTTGTTGTTGATTTCACGTTGAATTCACGTTAGTTGACAACTCAACCAAATGTAAATCAAAACTAGATGTTGAACTGACGTCCGTGCCCAGTGGGTCTATCGAGTGCAATATCACAAGTCAACCTCCATTGAGGTCTGCCTTTGATAACTTAATAAACATAATAAAAACGACATGTTTTAAGCCCAATTAAGCCTATCATGACTGAGATTTCGTGCTGGTAACACGGAATATAAAATATGTCTACCAATGTCTAAATGTTACAGCACAAAACATGTTTGGCTAAATTAGGCTAGATGTTATTACGTTGCTGGCTGCACTAAGTTTAGGCTAAGAGCCTATTACATTTATTCGATTTCATTTGGATATTAGGCTATTATTTCTTGACAAATTAAGTAGGAACTTGTATTGCATTTGATGAATTCAATCATTTGTGATATCTACTTTATCAGATCTTTTTGAATGGAAAGAACTCGACGAGAGATGTCATAGCATGGAATGGGCATTTAAATGTCTCAGTAGGCTATAAGTGAAAAACCTTTTGATGTAAACACTCTTTACAGTGACCAAACCATGCAGAGGCCCACATCTACATAGCTAACTGCAAAAAGAGGATTTGTGATACCCTTGGGTTGAAGTTTACTGGAATATTGTGCTAAACTAGATATAACATTACCATTGTTGTCTAATTGGATAACTTGATGTGACTTTACTTAGAAAGATATTGTTTGTGTGGATGCCAAAGTGGACATGCTGACAATAGTAATAGGTGAACATCCTCCCCTCCAACAGGTCTATGAGGCTACATGGACACTACAGAATCCGAATGTTGTGGATACAATGTATTGCATGGTGCTGTAAAATGAACTTGACTTTGACTGGAAATATTTGGAGAGGAGGGCATCATTGGATGAATACGAATGAGGTTGCCAAAACACACTCAGAAATCAGAGTCGATTTTTTCCCAAATGTGCATTTCAGTTATCACCCCCTCTTGAAATTGAAGATGCAAATTAAATCGTGTTTCTGACCATCAAAGTATAATGTTGCCTTTAGTTAAGATGAGTTAGTATTATAAATTATTCATAAAAGCTATTATTACTACGCTAAATCGTACATTTCACGATCACTCTCTCTCAAAACTGATAAGCAATGACTTCTCAAATGGCAATGCTTTCAAACACACATATAGGCCACTATAAGTGGACCTGAAAATAAAATCACTGCTATGGCTCTTTTGAAAGCCTTGAATACCAGCAACTCATAAAGATACAGCTAAGAGCCTCTAGGCCTACTCGAACAAGTTAAAATATAAACTCTGAAATTGAACTTCACTGAAACATAAAAATCAAAAGATTTTAGAAATGACAGAATGAGTAATCGCCTAATGTGGTTGTTCTTAGTTTTTTGGGGGTATTTTTTATTTTACATTCGTTGATTAGGCCCCATATGCAACTTTGCTCCTGGGGCTGTTCAATGTTGTAAATTATCAAAACAATCAAAGCAATTTCAATGGAAACAGCTTCAGGAAATTGCTCTAATATGCCCCAACACCTTCTGGGTATTGTTTTTAATAGCCTCTTATTGAAATATACTGAGCTAAATTATGTCTGGTAATGTTGACTATAGACATATATGATTATTGCAGTTTTAAACAATCTGAAAGGCTGGCTGGGTAGACTACAGGACTATAGCATACGTATTGCTGCCATCCAGTAGCCTATATACCCCATACATTTTCATTCCCCTAAAAAGTGGTAGAAATAGTCCCCTCCCACCGACAGCCACTACTATGCCCTGAAGAACACTGCATGACTGTGGCTGCGTCCCAAAAGTAATAGCTTGCTTTCCTCGTCTCGTCTCCCTCATTGCCATTGATCTGTAGGTGTGTAATCAATTCGTTGGAGAATTGTAACTTTGATCAGCTAGTTGGCCACAGCTAGCCTATGTGTAATTTTTTTTTTTTTTTTTTTTTTTTATCTATAGTGTATGTGGATTATGTGTAAATTCTTTGTTTATACAGCTCTGGAAAAAATTAAGAGACCACTGCAAAAATATACGTTTCTCTGGTTTTACTATTTATAAGTATGTGTTTGGGTGAAATTAACATTTTAGATTTTTTCTATAAACTACTGACAACATTTCTCCCAAATTCCAAATAAAAATATTGTCATTTAGAGCATTTATTTGCAGAAAATGAAAACTGGTCAAAATAACAAAAAAGATGCAGTGTTGTTAGACCTCGTATAATGCATAGAAAATAAGTTAATGTTCATTTTTAAACAACACAATTCTAATGTTTTTACTTAGGAAGAGTTCAGAAATCAATATTTGGTGGAAAAACCTGATTTTCAATCACAGCTTTCATGTGTCTTGGTGTGCTCTCCACCAGTCCTTCACATTGATGTTGGGTGACTTTATGCCACTCCTGGCGCAAAAATTCAAGCAGCTCGGCTTTGTTTGATGGCTTGTGACCATCCATCATCCTCTTCATCAGGTTCCAGAAGTTTTCAATGGGGTTCAGGTCTGGAGATTGGGCTGGCCATGGCAGGGTCTTTATCTGGTGGTCCTCCATCCACACCTTGATTGACCTGGCTGTGTGTCATGGCGCATTGTCCTGCTGGAAAAACCAATCGTCAGAGTTGGGGAACAATGTCAGAGCAAAAGGAAGCAAGTTTTCTTCCAGGACAACCTTGTACGTGGCTTGATTTATGCGTCCTTCACAAAGACAAATCTGCCCGATTCCAGTCTTGCTGAAGCACCCCCAAATCATCACCGATCCTCCACCAAATTTCACAGTGGGTGCGAGACACTGTGGCTTGTAGGCCTCTCCAGGTCTTCGTCTAGACGACCAGGTGTTGGGCAAAGCTGAAAATTGGACTCATCAGAGAAGATGACCTTACTCCAGTCCTCTACGGTCCAATCCTTATGGTCTTTAGCAAACCTCAGCCTGGCTCTTCTCTGCTTCTCATTGATGAAGGGCTTTTTTCTAGCTTTGCACGACTTCAGCCCTGCCCCTAGGAGCCTGTTTCGAACCGTCCTCGCCGTGCACTTCACCCCAGCTGCTGTTTGCCATTCTTTTTGTAGGTCACTTGATGTCATCCTACGGTTGTTGAGTGACATTCGAATGAGTTGGCGGTCATCCCGGTCAGTAGAGAGTCGTTTTCGCCCTCTGCCGGTCTGTAGCTTTGTTGTCCCCAATGTCTGCTGCTTGACCTTGTTCTTATGAACCGCCGTCTTTGAAATTGTAAGGATGGAAGCAACCTGACGCTCACTGTATCCCTCTGCCAGGAAAGCCAGAATTGAACCCTTCTTTTCCTCACTCAAAACTTTCATTTTCAACTCTTTTGGCATGGTCAATAGTTATTTTTTGATTAATATTACTTTTGAGGTACTATTAGCACTGTTTTTGCCATCCAGCTGGTCCTATTGCAAGAGGATAGTGATGACCACAGCAGCGGTTTTTATACTTTTCCTCGTTAAATAAGATTTGGTTCAGGTGATCACCTAATCAGTACCTAATTCAGTAGAATGAGGTGTGCCTGTGTTGGAATTCAACAGACACTGGAATGGAATGGCTGTCATACATGTAGAGATGCTGATTTAAGAAGAATTTGCAGTGGTCTCTTAATTTTTTGGGGGGCTGTATATTCTGCCTGTAGGCTATATATTCAGTTTTGTGGTTAGCACCATTTCACCAGGTGAAATTCCTGGTACATAAATGTACTTGGCGAATAAAGGTGATTCTTATCAGTGGTCATAAATGAAGGGAGATGCAGTTTAACTGTAGGCTACTTGGTATTGGACACAGTCCTTTCGACAATAGGGCCTATAGCGTATTTAACAAGTGTTTTCATTCACACCAACCCTTTCAATCCTTCATCTTCAGGAATGGACTTATGGACTACACCTTGCGTTAGGTCTAGCCTACTAAACATATTGTGGAAATGATAACTTGACATGTAACTAGTTGAGTTATATAGGCATAACTCGTTTAATTGGATCAGAGGCGTGGTAATTCATCATTTGACAAATAACAAATGAGGCCCTGGATGTTTTCTATCATATTTTAGTTACCATTTGTTGTTTTCTATTCTTTCACAACATGTTGTGTGTCATTCGCCATCATTGCTCAATCATTCATGTGGAGGGCACTGGCTATAGCAGCCTAGCCTACATCCATCATTCCCTTGTTACTGTTATCTTGACTAAAGTTTGTTTTATAGGCTACAACCCACGGGGATCTATAACAAAAAGTATAAATTATACAAATACCTATTATTAATATTAATAGGCTATTATTATTATTATTGAATACTTACTGTAAAGCACCGAGGTGTTTATTTTAATTGTTTTGACATGAGACGTCTGGCGATGGAGCTACTGTGAATTCCCGCTAAGAAAGGTCAGCACTGCTATAATGGAGCCATTGCGCAAATCCTAGCCTATATTATGATGACTATTGGAGTTTCCAAAAAATACATTGGTTATGATGTTAGATGTAAATGTCGTGCTTTTTCCTAAGTAGATTAATCTCCATGACAAAAGTTTGCTATAAAAAACATCTGAGACATTATAGAATGTGACTGTGCAGAGCGATAATATTTAAATATATAGGCCTACAATGGGGACTCAAAGTTACCTGTACAATATGTCTTTATTGGCACAATAGGATACCAATCTATTATCGATAACTCAACACTACTGAAGAAATAGGCCTACACTGTCAAATTATGTCTGTTTCTTACCTGTGTTTCGGACAGGTTCAGCTGCCTCGCCAGCTCAGTGCGCTCGCGGCCGACTACATACTGGCAGCGCTGGAAGTCGAGCTCGAGCCGGTAGAGCTGCTCTGCGGTAAAGGATGTCCGCGTGCGTTTTGGCCTGTCGAGGTCCAGACCCTTTGGCAACACGATCTCACGGATGGTGCCCTTGGCATCTGTGGATATACAGCCAGACACGGTGTGTGAAATGCCCCATAGTTAGAAAAATTGTCTTATTACAATTGCATATACTCTCGTAGCCTACCAATGTCATTAGTCCTGTGTAGCTCAGTTGGTAGAGCATGGCGTTTGCAACGCCAGGGTTGTGGGTTTGTTTCCCACGGGGGTCCAGTATGGAAAAAATAATAATAATAATGTATTCACTCACTAACTGTAAGTCGATCTGGATAAGAGCGTCTGCTAAATGACTAAAATGTAAATTATTTTTTGGACTGACCAGGAAAATATTGTTAAACATTGTGCTCCTACGCTATATAAGAATAACCTCTTGAAGTGATCGTTGTTTTCAGTATGAGGACATTGACATGTAGTTGTCTTTCTTGGAAATATATGCTAGTCAAGTTTGTAGTAAAATAAATACAGAAAGGGCAGGAGTAATAGATGGATAATATATTTTAAGAATCACAATATCCGTAAATAAAACTCAATGCACCTCACAGAGATAATAGGCATATCAGTTGGTTAGATATATGTTACGCGTAAAATGCCTTAGAATAGTTATTCAATTTTTCAACTGAGAGTAGGCTATGCTGCAGTATGTAATGGAACTGGACTTAAGTAAGGTATAACATTCAAATTAAATATTTTGGAATAGGCTACCTCGAGGTTTGACACAGTCACTATAGTAGCGTGCTTTTTGGCCGTGTTTGGGGAATATTCCAAAAAAGGTATAGCCAGAACAATGAGAACTGAAAGATACATCCCTATCCCATTACTAAATTACAGGCCTACCAGTACCTAATTTAACTAAATATTACGTGCATTGTCTGCCTCAGCGCGAGTAGGCCTACATTTTTGGAGAGCATGTTCTCAGAGTTATATTTCAAATATACCTCTGCATTTGGCATGCGTCCTAAAACCCACCCTGGAGAATATAGTGTAACCGGCTAGTTGATGCATCAGTACACACCGTTTAATACTGCAATTTATGGGACAACGTGAAATCGTTTTGTTCAATAAAATATCATGAAATGTGTGTTTTTATATACAAGTATGGAATATGCCTATAGCAAGTCTCGCTATGGAAAATATACTATTTATGCAATACCAAAAATCAACTAAGTGCAAAACATTTAGACTAACCAAGCTGGGTCGCACAATAAAATATAACTGCCAAAGGAGGCAGTAGCCTCTATCTGTCGAATAATGTTGCGTCTAAATATATTTCAATTCCTCAGCAAAACTTAAATTGAATCAAAGTTATAGAAGATATAGAAATCTTAATTCCTTGACAGAATGGAACATTATATAGGCCTACTGCATCATGCGTAACCACCGTATACTATTTCAAGTGGTTTATCCATTGACTACAGCCTATATATTGCAAATGTCATGAGGAAATAGCATCTATAGGGCCTATGCAGCACGGTCTCTGCGTATAGCTTGTCTAACTTCAATGCAAGCATGCATGGTGTCAGCAAGAGCTACAGAGACGCATTCCAACATTGTGAATATTTATAATGTCCAATTAAACATAATCTACTCATTCATAATACCCTAGATTAAAATACTCTAAATGTACAACTTTGCAGTAGGGCCTTTCAAACGGTTTGCACGCACATCGAGACTTTGCGACTTTGTACACCTGACCTTTCTCTGACCTCAGTTTCTCACGAGTTACCCAGCGCAATCGTCAGCTTGAAAAACAAATAGTGACACGGGGTATTGCGAGCTTGGTGTCCCGAGCAACTCTGCCAAAAGCGCTCAGCTCGCCCTCACCACACCACAACTGCCGAGGCCGTTCACTGCTACAATTACCGGGCTTTCTGTTCATATTCAGCCCCCACCAACTGCACTGTTTTAGGGCCCGGGCACGCGCAAACATTCAATTATGTAGAGCTTTCCAGTAGGTGATGTGTTTGATTATTTGTTGTTCAAATGAAAGGTTCATTTATACAATTGGTGAAAATAAAATGTGCACAAATAGGGGGGAACATTTTGTAAGAAGGGAAATTGATATTATCTGTGCTTCTGTAGGCTAATAGTTTTGTGATTAACTGATATGGGGTGTTATAGTATCCATGACAAATATGCATCCCACATTGGTGTGAAAACTATCCGGGTAAGGGGCATGGATATGCTATTTTAGAAATAAGTGGTCAACTTGATTATTATGAATAGGCTTACAAGTTCAAAAGTTTCAAAATAAACTTAAATAAAATGTTTTTTTTCCTGCTTACTATGACTATTTATTTAGAAAGCCATTTTCATAATTGTTATATTTTCTCACTAAGGATAATCTTCCACACAAAAAAAATATCCTGTATTCTTTGGGGTTTGTTGACATTGACATTAGAATGCATTTTACAACCCTGATTAAACAGCAGTGCAAAGAGATGTCATTACATTCTGACCAAAACCATTGAGTTGCATTCAATTAATTGTATTCTAAGTCAGTCAGTCACATAGCTTATTACTACTATAGCCTATTAGACATGTAATAAGTATTGTATATCATTTTGCTCACACCTTTAACCATTTGACATGTTTTACAAATAGTTTCTTCTTTTAAATATAATTTATTTCTGCAAATACATACTCCTGGAAATATTTTACTATATTTTAATAAGCATTAGGAAGGTAACTGGTAATATACCAAATATGGCATGGCGTTGTTTTGTTATAAGAAGGGAATGTTGTTGAGGGGATCTCCCCCTCCCTTCCACAATGATTATTGTAATAATTTACTACAAACTATTGAACCATTATTACCATCATGGCCGCATACAATTACAAGATATTTGGACATGCTGAAATAAACTATGGAGATATCAGTTGTGTGATTCACCCATAAAGTAGGCCCCTAATTACACAATTATATATTTAGAAATTGAAAATAGTAGCTTATATTTTGTTCCATTCGCAACTCATTTTTTAAAGAAGTTTGTAGATCCTAAGAACCACAAAAAATATATATATTATTAAAATAACTATTAAGTGGGTCTACATATTTTGGAGAATTCCATGCAAAGATGGCAATAGGCCTAGAAAGGTGGGGCTCCCTTTCTTTTAAACAAAGAGGGCGTGGACAACATTATTTCTTCATTTTTAGTAATAATACCTTAACTCAAACAAAAATAACAACATGGCCATGAATAAACACACACAGACATACACATGATGGTTTGTGTTTTTTAAAAGTATTTTGTTTGCCAATAATTACTGAATCATTTGTTGATTCATATAGTACAAAGCAGCTACTGCTATTAGTATATGTTATCATGATCTCTAAACTCTACTGTACATTTTAATCTCAGATGTTCACAACTTATTTAAATATAGTTAGCATTTTTTCCCCCTAATTATTGCAGATTTGTTCCAAAAAGGTATCAGGAGTCATAAAAAAAAGCTGTTGTCAGAATATAGGCTAGCTATATTTTCATTTTTAAGTATATTGGACATATATAGTATTATATCTTCATCTGCATATGAAATACCTTATTTTATTTTATTTACAATAAATCACTGCAACTATTTGCTTATTTGTAAGCTTAAAAGCATTCTAGTAGTAGTAGCAGTGTAGTAATATGGCCTAGTAGCCTAGTTGTAGTAGTTGTTGTTGTAGAATTAGGCTAATATTAGTTGTAATTACAATAGTGGTATATCTGCAAATGCATTAAATATATTAAATGAATTTAATGGGAATTCTCAAATCTTAAGAAGTATAAACCCCTGGTTCTGTTCAGTAAAATAATATTTCGTTACTAACCTCGAACTAAAATCCTCCGGCAGTAGTCTGGATCCACTCCTAAAAGTTTATCATGTCCGTCTTCACTGGAGGAGGTCGGGGTGGAAGCAGATGTACCCGGGGTATTGGTTGTGCTCTGAACCGGCGACCTGCTCCCAAGTTCGGTATGGCATTTGTCTATCCCGTCACGACACTGAGAGTTGGATCCACGGCGGTGGTTGTTGCGGTCCTCGGCGATCTCATCGCCCATATTTGTGGCTTGATCGAACATCGATTTGAATATTGCTGTATAGATCTTCTGTATTCTTCACCTCGCTATTGGGCAGTTATTGCTACTCTTTGCACTTTTTAGTCCTTTGCAATAGTTCTCTTCAGCTGTGGTGGGGGAGACCATGCCCCAGAGTAGATCCAGTTACAAAACAGAACCGGCCACGCCGACCTGCGATGGAACCGAGCTGCACTGCAAGTGTCTCGGCATGGTTCAGCACTATCCTGCGGTCCGAAGTAGAGGAGAGAGATCGTGGATGGTGGTGAGAAAGAGGGGGCCCTGTGGACAAGCCTAGGGTCCCTCCTCAGCTATAGGACCGCACTAAACCCTAAATGCATGTTGTACGTACAGTAAGTGTATAGCCTACAAGGGGAGACCAGATCTATGACCAAAGAAGCTGGGAGGTGCTACACTTGCTCACCCACGTATAAATAAAATGAAAGACGAGCGCGTAACCAGCAGAAGAACAGTGTCTCAGTCTCTGTACAGTACAGTCAGTTCACTCTCTGCATCCAAGAAAGGAAACTTTTTCTCCTATAAACCATGCACCCCAGAGCATGGGCTTGAAATCAGTTACTTTACCACCGTTTGACTTGCTGGTTTCAGTGGCGCTGTCTTGGCGTGGTCACCGCTGTTGGGTTGTTGGTGGTCTGCTCGGGGTCTTCTTCCTTTGGAGAGCGCAATAATGTCTGTGTAGAGAGTGTTGAGGAGGGGCGTTCAAATGGGGGAAAGGGTCACATGCGGACAGTGAGGCAAAACTAACCAAATAAGGCTTGACCGAGCCATTTGCGTGTAGCCTATAAGTCATGTATGATTGTTTAGATAATCTTGGTGGTAATAGTTTTGCTTTGTATTGACGGTGTGACAGTCGTATTGACAATAATGTAGTGTCAGGGTGCACTTCAAAGGGGCTGTCACCAGCAACGTAATATCCGGTTTGCTCGTCTTTGATTGGTAAACAGACAGATCATTCAGTGCACATTCTAAGAAATGTATAAATCCGAAGAACCCTTCACTGTAAAAAAAAACAACAACATTTGTTTCAACGAATTATTATTAAGTACCTGGTTCCACAGCCTTTTTTTGTTTACTCAACTCTTCGGTCCAATTGTTAACTGAACCTAAAAAAAATATTTGGCCCAAACTTAGTGCCAACTTCAGAGAATGTAGGCAAAAATTCAATCAACTTAAAATTATGTGTTTTCTCTAATTGTATCATATGTTCATTCAACTAGAAATTATTATTTGGGCATCTTACCTAAAAAAGTCTGTGGAACTAGTTACACACACACAGTGCTTTAACACACAATGTTTTCAACTTACATATTTGACACAAGTTAACAAAGGCTACATTATGCATATTCATTTATACAGCAATGAATATTCAACATGTTCTTACCTTGATTTGAACTCACATCCTCTTGGTTCACTCCAATCTTCCTGCTATGCCACCATGTCTGTGTCAATGACTGATTTAATCTGTATTGCTACACTTTGCACTTCAAAGTAATATGCCCCACCAACATTAGACAACTATACAGAAACCCCCCAAAATTGCTGAAATAGGTAAATCAAATCAATGATGAGAGAATAGTCAGAGTAACTGATAATTGACACAGACATGGTGGCATAGCAGGAAGATCGGAATGCCGTGAAATAAGAGGTTGTGAGTTCAAATCCCAGATGAGGACATGTTGAATAATAGTTACTGTACAATGTAATCGTGTGTCAAATATGTAAGTTGAAAGCACTGTGTGTGTAACTAGTTCCATACCTTTTTTTTAGGTAAGATGCCCAAAGAATGATTTATAGCTCAATTAACATGAGACAAGTTGAGCAAACACATCATTTTAAGTTGACTGAATTTTTGCATACATTCTCTCAGGTTGGAGCTAAGTTTGGGCCAACATTTTTTTTTGTTGGACCGAAATGTTGAGTTAATAAAAAGGCTGTGAAACCAGCTACTGAATGATAATTTGTTGAAACTAGATTTTTATTTATTTTTAAGTTTTACAGTGTGCTTTTTATTGTTATAAAAAATTGACATTAGAACACTATAGAATCTTTCCCCAAACTAGTTTAAACTGAATTTTAAAAAGATTCAGACCAATACCTATATAGGATAGGCTATTAAAAAATATTTAAGTTGATCGAAAATAAACGAAACTACTCGAAGCCTGGAATAGTCAATGGATGCAATGAGCTCAGTAAACGACAGTAGCCTATTTTGCCATTATTCTCAAAGGGAAATCATTAAATTCCCTTCTACAAATCCGGAATGTATGGAAGCTTGTTACCTCCACCAAAAAAACAACAACGAGTTAGGAGATAGTAAGTCATAATTATGAGATAGTAAGTCATTATTATGAGATAGTAAGTCATAATTATAGATAGCAAGTCATAGTGATGAGATAATAAGTCATCATTATGAGATAGTAAATCATTATTATGAGATAATAAGTCATAATTGTGAGATATTAAGTCATTATTATGAGATATATAAGTCATAATTATGAGATAGTAAGTCTGGATCATGGACATTGAATAATCCTGCAGATCTACCCCTTTTAGGGGCAATTCAAACAATAACTCCCCGCCACTTTATTTGGTAAACAGCTGAAGAATGGGGCAGGAGAAATTGAACCACTCTCAAATACACAGAAGCAAGGACTCTCACATATGGATGCAAGGACTGACCATCCATGAGATAAAAATGATAGTTTTAACTATGTTTTGAAGCTATATAGTGTTTGTTTATTTACAATTATATTGTTTACACAAACAATGGAGTAAAACAAGCTTATATTTTGGGTTCTGATGGGGTATAAGACCGTTGCTCATGAGGCATTTCTAAGTTACATTCTTCAAGAATCAATGGCTATATATTAATAATTGTAAAGTCAAAAAATGGATGTACCAATCCCAGATTGCCCCTTTAATGGATTTAATTACATGAATTAATTAATTAAATCTGATCTCAAAATTATGATATACATATCTCATAATAATGACTTAGAACGTCAGAACAATGAGTCATAACTATGAGATAGTAAGTTGTTATTATGAGATGGTAAGTCATTATTATGAGATATGTAAGTCATAATTATGAGATAGAAAGTCAGAAACGGAAACGGGCATTCTGAGAAAGATATGTAGAGAGAGGATGCTTAGAGTTTAGGGAATGTTTAATAAGATAATAGCATAGCTAAAACGTCGATGATAAAACAGAAGTGGCCACTCATGGTAGGCCTATACACCCTTAGAAAAAAGGGTTCCAGAAGGGTTCTATTTTAGCTGTCCCGATAGGAGAACCCTTTTTGGTTCCAGGTAGAACTCTTTTGGGTTCCATGTAAAACCCTCTGAGGAAAGGGTTCTACATGGAACCCAAAAGGGTTCTACCTGGAACCAAAAAGGGTTCTTAAAAGGGTTCTCCTATGGGGACAGTCGAAGAACCCTTTTCGGTTTTAGATAGCACAATTTTTCCAAAGAGTGTAGCCTAGGTTACATTTTGCCGTTCACTAGAAAGGATTTGGCCAACAGGCCTACTCCCTTAGATCTATAGTCTACCTACACAGCCTAATTTCTGCAACAAAAATGCATCTATTTGAGTTGATTACACAACACATTTTGCACAACTCCTGGACAATACCTTTGATGGTAATATATACTTTTTTCAACTAAGAGTTGCAACTAAAAGTTGCAAGAGTTTGTAAAAAAGATACTTCAATATTGAAGTATAAATATTTTACTGGATGGCTTCTTTTAAAGTTCATAGCATTATTGTTTTCTCAAACGTAGGCCTATAGGCTTTATTCACAGCTCTTCAGAAACACATTAACACTGCTAAATGATTTAGCCTTGGTCCATCTGCCCATTAGGCCTAGTATAATACAAAAATGTGGACTACCTTGCCCAAATTCACATTGAATAGCCATTGAATTTTCCCTACTGAAAAAGCTTTCAGTTAATTAGAGTTAATTAAATGCCTAAACCGTTGTTATGACTGCGCAGTAGGCCTAATTGTGGCTCTTGCTAATTGTAACTGGGAACAACCGCATGTGATTGTCTGTCTGTTGTAGGCCTACACAATTATAAGGCAAAAAACATCCACATTGTAAATTATTGGGATTACATAATAACAGTTTTGCCAGGTAGGAAGGTGATAATTATTCAAATTGCTCATTATTCGTTTCAGATGTTGTAATCTGTCAATGCGTTGAATGGACCTGACAATCAGATCCTCCACTCAGCAGCAAGACAAGAGAGGACTGATTGCCACAACAGATCTGTGTGATTGAGTATAAACCACACACACAAACTTAAAATGTGTATTGGTTATAATCACATACAACCTTCCACAAGCGCAATCCCTCTTCCCTAGCCATCACACGTGATGAACTATACAACTATTCAAAATATATCACTCATCAAAGTGCATCACAAGTTTTCTAAATTAAAAATAGTCTCATAATTTACCCATTGCCAATCATAGTTTTTCCCTTCCATTTTCACTGCAAATAATGTCTTAAGTTTACCAGTCTGACTAACATTGTTGAAACAACACCAACGAATGTCTATGGCTCCCATGGGACAATAATTGTTTCAATCAAATAATGATATCTGTTGTATACTGTATTTTATGTGGAGTGTGTTGGGTTGATTTGATCTCGTAAACTGACTTGCCTTTCTTAATTTCCCCTATGGGGATAACGTTGAATTGAATTGAACGCTTCTGCTTCAGTCTCTTTCCAGTCATCTAAACAGCCTTATGAAGTCTGTTCCATTTCCCCTATAAGGCCTATTTCACACATCTGCTGAATCCTACTTAAAGCTGTGAGAAATCGTTCATCTTCCATCTTCACACACCATCTGTATAACTATTTCGTACAATTTTATGACACAAATGTGGACAAATATTCAATATTCATTGTACTGTTTTACAAAGTTCACAATGGATAGGCTACCGAAAAGGTATAGGCTGCACATACAAAAGAGTTACAGGTAATTATACAGACTCTATAA